ATCACGTCCAAAATGTAGCACTTGCTCTAAGCGTTGCGCAATGAAGGCATTCATAAACAGGGCATCGTCGGCTGGAGTTTCGGCTGACCTGAAAGAGGTAAGTGGATATTATGTTGTAGATGGATGAATTAATCCAGGTACGACACACCAGACTTGTCTGTGCGATTATGCATTTTTGCATAATTCTATTCTGCAACGAATGCAATTTGAACATTTGATGCGCCTGTACACACCCATGCTCAAGCAAGTCTTATGCTTTGTAGCCCGCACATAAACAGCAAATATCCTTAGAAAAATACTACTTCCTGCTCATCCTGTACTGATTTAAATGGGTGTCAACAGGGTCCCAAACTAAATTTTTAATTGCGTGTACGCGACACCGAGGTGTGTCTTACAGCTGAATTCGAAATATTTGGGTCGGACTTTTGCATAGAATATCCTTGTAAATTTTCAGCTCCCTAAAATGATTGCCTAATGAAATCGCTTTTCGTTACAAATATTTTTGACGTGTCCGAACACGCGACACAAGGAATGCTAAAGCTCATTTTGCGACTACATGCCTATGTATGAAAAACAAATGTTCCCGCAAAATTACAGCGTTTTATCCACTGAGTTCCTGACGTGGCATTTTACTACGATGCCTAAATTTTAACTTCAATATGTCCCTACACTTGACATAAGGATATAAAATATTCCTGTGAAATATCCGCTTCCTAACTTGACTGGTCCTCGAAACCGCTTTCCTGCCGAAAAATTTGTTTCCTTTTAAGTATCCGTACGCGAGAAGTTTTTGGTGCATATGCCACCCCATGCGTGTCCTCTTCATTTTAATATTTTCATTCATACAAGCGTACATGCATGGCAATATTAAAAGGAAAGGATCGCGCACAAGGTAAGCGTATACAGCAAAAATTTCGTTTTTCTAGCTTCTCTGGCTGCTGAGTTGAAAGTGAGTGACCAAATACGAACACAGACGCAGACACAGACACACAGACACACACACACACATGCAGGACTCTTGACAATATGCGCTTTTATTGCATTTGTATAAATGTGCAAAAGTATATGAAAAATGCAAAAAAAGAAAAAATTTAAAAATTGCCTTTTATTTAAAAGTTCCTCGAACTCCTCTTGGGAACTGACGGA